GTTATGGGGTTTTATTCATTAAAAAGGGGGGATTTTCCAGTTTTCAGACAATAACTCAAAAATGCTTTGAGCAGTTTTCATGAAATTTTGGATGAATTGTTTATATCTATTGACATAAGCTTTTGATTTATTATATAAATTTTAGATTTTACGTTTCCGAGTTGTGGGATTTTCCAGTTTTCAGTCAACACTCTAAAGATCTTTCAGCAGTTTTCATGACACTTTGGTGACTGGTTTATATCTGTTAAAATAACCTCCCATTAGTTTTTTTATAAATTTCTGTAATGACATTGAGTAGTTATGGAACTTTATTCTTTGAAAAAGCTACGTTGCTCATGGCGCAGCTGTTTATTATTGTATGTTCTATTGAAATTTGTTTTGTTATGAATAAAAAGATAATATGTACATGTATTTTCATATATCCCTTTAAATGAAACGTGATTTAGCTTTCCTGTTTAAATAAAACCTTCAATTCATTTAAATTTAGAACACAATAGAGGTTAAGATTAAGGTTGTTTTTGTTTTAGTTCATATGTTCTGTCAAGGTTTGTGCATGTGAGATATGGATTAGCTGATTTTGCTAATATTTCTCAATCATTTAAATGGTTTTCATGGTGAATAAAAAATGCCTGACTTGCAGTTTATTTTTTATTGATCTTACAAACTGCAATGTTAAATGAAAGATTGGACAACAAAATGAATTGCTAAAAATTGTCTTAAATTGTAAAAGTATGCAAAAAGAAAAGTCTTTTTGTATTTCTTTCTGTTGTTTAAGAGAATTTATAAGTGACTTGCTCTTATAAAAAATGCATTAACAGTGTAATCCTAAACATTTAAATGATTAATCACATTTTGTTTAATCAATGTTCATTTTATTTTTAATGATATATATATACATTGTACAGAGGATACATTTTAAAAAGATATCCTATTCATCCCAATAAAAAATATAGTAATGCATGAAACTGCACCTACATTTTTGTAGAGCACTTAAGGTATTTCCTTGAATCTGTCACTGAATTGTCTGAAGGCAAAAATAACATGTTTTGCTATGTCTTTCACTAGTTAGTTACAGCACTATAGCTTGTCACTAGTGGTTGTCTTTTGTCATATATCTTAATGTATTTTTGACATTTGGAGATTTTGGTTCTGATGGCTGATCTTTGAATTTGATAGCCTCTGTTATTTTATTCACTAAGTCTTTCTAGACACTAAGCCATTTAGAGCTTAAGATATCACAACGCCACCTGTCTGTTGTTGTATAGACTATATAAAATGTATGATGACCTCTAGAATTCTAGTCTTTATGTTTTTGCTGTGTTGTTGGGTTGCAATGATATTTACTCCTATATTGAATTCAAGATCATATTAAACATTTGACTATGCACAAATAATCTCTGTAATAAAAACTACTTAGATAACAAATTATGTGAACAAAATGCAAGTTTTAGGTTTTATCCATAAAATTTGATTGATGAAATTTTTAGAGAAAAAAAATGTTGTTGACTAAAGTCATATGATCCTTCAAATTTAACAAAAAAGATATGTATGTTTTAAAATTTTGAATGGCTATGTTTAAATCTAAAACACATGTACATAGACTTTCTTTTAAAAGAAAATCCTTTATTTTATCCATATCTTCAGAAATGTATTGCTTTAGAATTATTGTCTTCCTGTACTTATATAGGCTTAGAGCTTTTCCATATGACACTATTTTTAGATAGTCTGCAATTACACAGTGCAAGTGCAAAGGGAAAAACTAGATAAATAGAAGGAAGATCATATTAACCTATTCAGAAAGAAAAAAATGTAATACCCCAAATAAGTTAAAAACTCATATGATAAAGTTTAATTAATGAATGAGAATGCATGGAAAATATTTAAAAAAAACCCAAATAAACATCACTCGCTCATCTCAATAATTTTTCATGTGCTCCATGATTCTGTGGGGATTTTTTTTCATGGTCATGATTGGTAAACTTCTGCAACAAAACCCCAAAGTAAATTGGCACCAAAGTTTTTGATCAACACTGAATGAAAATTTTTTTTTTTATAGGTTGTATATTGGTATTAAATATCAAGTATATGCACAGAGGACTTAGTTTAGTATATATATGCATGTTTCCGTATAATGATTTTCTTAACATTATAATCATCAGCATGATCAGAAACTCGTTTCATATGACTTTTCAAACTAAAGTTTTCTTCGAATCAATTTCAAAGAAATGTTTCAGTTAAAAAAAAATCTAAACAAAATAAATACATGTATACATATAAATTAAAGTTGAAAGAGAACAGGCTAAAAGAGGTTTTGCTTTTCTAATGTTGCCAAGACAATAAACAAAACATGCACAACTATTCTATATACATACATGTATGTAAAAAAATTATGTATTCAAAGCACTTTTTATAATGAGTGCTTAATCATCATTCTCTATCTATTTCCCTTATTCACTAGTTGTAAGTTCTGGTACTGATTGATCACATATATGTATTTAGCATGATATTAATCATGCGACGCCTAACAATTTTCTACGAAAGTCTAAATTATATTTTTAGGTACATCTGTGTTTTTGGTGTTTTTCATACTCGTGTTTATTTTCAAATAGTATTGATGTATGATTTTAATGTGATATGAATTTCTTGGTCTAATATATATTCACCAGTCAGTCAGCTGTCAGAAAATTTTACTCTTCCATATTTTTGTGTATAATTCATGGTACATGTTAAATTTGATGTAGGTGATCACACTTTTATCTAACTTTTTGAAAAGATAATATATTTTCATATATCCCTTTATATGAAACGTGATTTAGCTTTCCTATTTAAATAAAACCCTCAATTCATTTAAATTTAGAACACAATAGAGGTTAAAATTAAGATTGTTTTTGGGTAAAGATTACATGAAATGCAATCAAACCCCTATGGTACTGACTTGATATCTATATCTTCCAAGGTTTATCACTACCTTCGATAGTGCAGTGAAGTAATCATTTTTTGGATCCTATCCAGTCAACATGGTCAATGTCATGCAATTTATTGATGATATGTTATAGTTGATATTTGAGTTACAATATGATGTGTATTTGAATTAACATACTAGTCAAGAAAACCCTTTTTTATATTAAAAATTACATAAGTAATACATGGTGTATGAATCTGTTATAAAAATAGGTTCAACTACAAAGGTACAATCATGAACAATGGATTAATTTTTTTAACTCATTTTTTTAAATTTTCAAATTTTTGATTTTCCTAGCAAAATACAATTCAATGTTTTATTTAAAAATTCACAAAATTGCAAAATGAAAGCAATCTTTATTTGTTTTAGTACATATCTGTTTTGTCACGGTCCATGTGAGGCACATTTGTGTTTTTGGTGTTTTATAACCGAGGCCAGTACTCTGCTCGTTCCTGACCTGGTTACTCATCTTGCTAGGTTGGGGGAACTAGCTGGTATCTTTCTTTAACCGCGTGTCTACATGGCTTGTGCAACATAGATCCAAAGTTCTATATATAATTGTTTATTAATTCAGCATTCAGTTAAATTTATCCATCACAATAATCACATAAGTTCATGAGACATAATAAAACACCATGTCTTATATCAATCCATTAACTACTGTATAACTGTCTTAAACAACTGTCTAAATCCAAGTCTTAACCACCACTCTCCCAAACTACATGGTCAACTAATATATATTGTTTTTCATTATTAAATTTACATAACATTAATACTCAATATATTTACTTTAAATAATAATGCAAGTTTATCTATTTTCCCAAATATCAAGTCTTTGTGACATAACCTAAATTATCTTAAAAAGTAAGAAATTCCTTTTGTATATATAACACTTCTCTAATCCTTAATTCTTTATTGTCATTTAACCCTTAGGGGATTACATAATAATTTGCTTAACAATTATCTAAAATTGTGAAGATTTATATTAATTATTTATCAAGTAAATTATTTCTTAAGCTAGTGCTATATATCTTTAACTAATACTGAATTATAAGAATTATTTGAATTCCACATTTTAACATTCTTGCATCTAAAATATACTGGTTATAGTTTTTCGTACTCCTATTTAGGGTCAAATAATATTGATGTATGATTTTAATGATCAGTTACAGGATACAATGTAAAACCTACTAAAAAGAATTTGGAATTTATATTTGATTATCATTTTTCCAGAATCACTAAACAAATACGGGGAGTCAAATTTCTTAGATATATATATTGTAAATTTATAAAATGCATCTGTGTTTTTGGTGTTTTCTACCTTTCAAAAAGAAATCAATTTTGATATTTTTCTATAATTTTTTTGAAAGATAATAGTTCATGTGCTTATAAAAATACTAGAGACAATATTACCTTATATGTGTTTTTGTAAAACTTAAAATTTCTATATACATGTATCATTTCAGATATTTGTTAAAGTATATTTTAAATGAACAAATTGGAATCTTTCCTTTATCAAAATAATTTTGAAATGTACCTGACATAGTTTGTATGAGATTCTCGTCTTGCATATAAAAATTAAAGAATTAAACTAAACAAAGTTTCATAAATATTGTAATTAATAGGGCATCTAGGGTAATGTGGTAAAATCTATGTCATGATCTTTTTAAGCAAAGCAGAATCTTTTCAAAACATTATTCTATCAAAATTAATGATGGAAGTTTTTTAAAAGTTGCATCAGATTTTGTAGATTTTTTGCAGTACAGAAGCTATTAAGTTGTTTAAGTTAATTTTTCTTGGGGACATTATATTCCAAATCTACCTTATACATTTGGTGTTTTTAAAAGGTTTAACTATTTGAAGAAGAATAAAGGTTATCAGTTCAAGAAGTAGAATTGAAAAATGAAATGAAAACATATCATATGATGAGTCCAACTGGTCAACCAATAAAATTCAGATATATATATATATATATATATATATATATATATACAGTAGATAGGGTAGATAACTCTGTCCTTTTTATATAACAAGGTGATCCTCACCTGTCGATAATTTGTTTCAGGTAAATGTTGAAGTATTAGTTTCATGTAATCTCTGATAACAACAGGTATGTCATTTTATTGTTATCTCCTTTAAGTAAGCTTCTGTCTTTTTGTTTATTTTTAAAATGTTTATAAATTTTGTAAAAGACGTTTTTTTTACATAATTTTTATTGAAAAAGATATATGATATTTAAACAGAAGTTATACTCTTATTAGTATGGATCTTAATCTATTCTAGGTAGTTTTTGTTGGTTCACTGAACTGCAAAATACTATATCATTATATGAAATATATGGTAAAATATTTGTTTGACCTTAATTTTGGTAAAACTAATTTATCAGATACGTGTAATTTTATTGATTGACGACTTTCCTTGGGGACAAAAATTCATTTTTACAGAACATTTACTTTTCACACCAAACTATTCAAATGTGATTTTAATTTCTTGGTCTAATATATATTCACCAGTCAATCAGCTGTCAGAAAATTTTACTCTTACATATTTTTGTGTATAATTCTTGGTACTTGTAGGTGATCACACTTTTATCTAACTTTATAAAAAGATAATATATTTCCATATATCCCTTCATATGAAACGTGATTTAGCTTTCCTGTTTAAATAAAACCTTCAATTCATTTAAATTTAGAACACAATAGAGGTTAAGATTAAGGTTGTATTTTGTTTTAGTACATATGTTCTGTCAAGGTCCATGTGAGGTACCTGATCAGCTGATTTTGCAAATATTTCTTAATCAATAACATGGTATTCATTGTAAATAAGAAGTGCTTGACTTGCAAGATTTTTTTGGAGTCTGGGAAGTTTTTTTTACTGATCTTACAAACTGCAAGGTTCAATGAAAGATTGGACATCAAAATTGATTACTAAAAATAGTCTTTAATTGTAAAAGTATGCAGAAAAAAAAAAAACTTTTTAAATTTATTTCTGTTATTGAAGAGAATTTTTAAATGGCTTGTTCTTATAAATAATGCATTACAGACTGTAATCCTAAACTTTAAGTGATTAATCACATTAGTTTTTTATTCAGGTTCATAAGATTTTTATTGATATACATTATATACTAAGGATGCATTTTAAAAAGATCCTTCCAAATAAAAAATAGGGTAATGCATGAAACTACACCTACATTTTTGTCTCGCCTTGATGGAGTCAAAAAGCGAGACAAAGGTATGCTGTTTCCGGCAGCGGTGGCGGCAACGGCGGCTTCAACAATGTATTAGTTTGTGATTAGGTCTAGTTTATGGTGAACCACTAGTGGTAGGTCAATGATATTTGGTATGCAGTTGAATTAGCATTGTCACATCTCATAACCATGGAGAGTATTTGGCTCCCCCCCCCTGTCATGGTTTATTGACTTTGAAACTTTGCTTAGTTTTCATGTATTAGTTTGTGATTAGGTCAGTTTATGGGGAAATACTAGTGGTAGGTCAATGATATTTGGTATGCAGTTGTATAAGCATTGGCATATCTCATTTCCATGGAGATTAATTGGCCCCGCCCCTTCAGTCATGGACTATTGACTTTGAAACATTTGTTTAGTTTACCAGTTAATGTTTGTGTTTAGGTTTCTTTAAAGGGAACGACCTATGAAAAGTCAATTTTATTTGGTATGCAGTTGTATTAGCATTGGCATATCTCATTTCCATGGAGATTGTTTAGCCCTGTACCTTTAGTCATGGTTCATTGACTTTGAATATTTGCATAACTAACATGTTAAAGTATTGTTATTTTAATTTCAACATTTGTATTATCAAAAAAAATAAATAGGCGAGACATATCTCTGTGTTAACAGTTTATTGTAGAGATATTAAGGTATTTCCTTGAATCTGTAATTGAATTAGCTGAAGGGAAAAAAACCACTTAGAATTTAAATGAATATTTGATGCTATATATTGTAAACTTTCATTCTTTTAGAAAGGCATATTTGTTATGACTTAGTATAATTTGTATTGTTATTGTGAACTGACATCAGAACAGAAATTCTCTTAATTTTTTTTATACAAGTTTACAAAATTTATGTGCATTTTTCTTTTAAGTCATTATTTATTTGGTTTTGGCTTTCCCACAAAAGTATAAGTTATTTGTTTTTAAACAGAAAAAAAATGTTGCAATTATCTGATGACGCACAATATAATTTGATGCCATTAATCATTATAACATTAAATACAACTTTAGAATAATGGTCAACAGGACCCAAACAACAGGAAACATTGTTTAAAAGAAAAGGAGGAGAGCAGCTCCCTCCAATCATAATTCAGGATAAAATATAATTCTTTACCAGGTGATTATCCAGGATTTGTGGTGGGATAGGGAATTGTGCTTAAAAAAATATATTTTGACTGATGTTCACACAGATACAGGATATACATAAAACTTCTGTTATAGCATAATAGCAAGTGTGATGTGACTATAAAGTATTCATATGATAGATAGAAATAAGAAGATGTGGTATGAGTGCCAATGAGACAGCTCTCCATCCAAATCACAATGTGTAAAAATTAAACAATTATAGGTCAAAGTATGGCCTTCAACATGGCGCCTTGGTTTTACACCGAACTGCAAGCTATATTTAAGGGCACCAAAATGACTACTGTTAAACAATTCAAACAGGAAAACCAATGGTCTAATCTATATAAAAAACGAGAAACGAGAAACACCTATGAACCACATCAACAAACGACAACCACTGAACAACAGGCCCCTGACTTAGGACAGGTGCAAACAAATGCAGCGGGTTTAATATGATAGAGTTTTGTTTGAGAAAAAAAAAGATCTAATTGTTTGAAATGAAGATTTTAATAGGATGCTATCTTTGAATTATAGGATCTGACCCAGTTAACTTAATGTTAATTCCAACACTCAGTTCCTGAAAATTGTTGACAATTGTCATGAATTTCCCCTAAATATCTTAATTATCGCAAATCTAAAGTTTGCATGATTTTAACATAAAGCTACATTTATATCAGACTTTGAGACATAAAATGATACATAAAAACTTATTCCTCAGTCATATATGATGCTATGCTATGTTGGTTTGAAGATGTCTTCTTTTAGGGGGTACCAATTTTAGTGGATTGAGGAAAACTTGCATATTTGTGGATATTTGATTTCTTGGTTATCCAAAAGTCTGCATATAATCATACAGCAAATTTGTAATTCATTGAACATTTAAATTCGTGGTTTCCCTGTACCCACGAAATCCACGAAAATTGGTATCCAACGAATAATAATGAATCCACAGTAGTTGGTTTGCTACAATATTCCATATTTTCTACATTTGATTTGATTAAAAAAATTAAGTGAGAAGACCTTTGCAACATCTCTGGAAAAGCCATTCTTTAATATATATATTCCACATTTCAGTAATGTAGGTAATGTAATGTGTATATGCCCCCCCCCCCTGGGTACCTAACTTGGAAATTAAAGTATATTATTATTGTGTATCATGTTTTCTTCATATGATCCTTTCTTTATTGTATACATCCTGGTTTAAACTTCATGTTAGTGCATAAATTTTGTTGAAATTTGCACATATTTGATTTAAATGATGCATGAAAAAAATATAAGTGTGTTGAGGCAATCTGCTACAGTAATGATTTTTATACGCCCTTCAATTTTTGACGGGACGTATTATGGTATACAAATGTCCGATGTCCGTCCGTCTGTCCATCCGTCCGTCTGTCCGTCCGTCTGTCCATCCGTCTGTCCGTCCGTCTGTCCGTCTGTCTGTCCGTCTGTCTGTCCGTCTGTCTGTCCGGCGTAAACATGTCGCACCATAACTTGAGAATGACTTATCCAAATTTCATGAAACTTAACATAGTTGTTTCTTATGATGGTCAAACAATCTGTATACTTTTTGGTGAAAATAAGATTAAAACTTTTTGAGTTACAGGACTTAGTAACTAAAACAGGTGTGTGTTTTTTTTCACATGTCGCGCCATATCTCAAAAACAATTTATGATTATTGCTTAAAACTTAACACACTTCTTAGTTATATTAATCTTAAGATCTGTATACTTTTTGGTGATGATTCAAAATTTAATTTTAGAGATATTGAGTATTTTGTAAAAAAAGGGGGAGGGGTTTTTCACATGTCGCGCCGTATCTCAAAAACAGTTTATGATTATTGCTTAAAACTTTACACACTTCTTAGTTATATTAACCTGAAGATCTGTATACTTTTTGGTGATGATTCAAAATTTTATTTTTGAGTTATTGAGTATTTTGTAAAAAAAGGGGGAGGGGTTTTTCACATGTCGCGCCGTATCTCAAAAACGATTTATGATTATTGCTTAAAACTTTACACACTTCTTAGTTATATTAACCTTAAGATCTGTATACTTTTTGGTGATGATTCAAAATTTTATTTTTGAGTTATTGAGTATTTTGTAAAAAAAGGGGGAAGGGTTTTTCACATGTCGCGCCGTATCTCAAAAACGATTTATGATTATTGCTTAAAATTTTACACACTTCTTAGTTATATTAATCTAAAGATCTGTATACTTTTTGGTTTTGATTCAAAATTTTGTTTTAGAGATATTGAGTTTTTTGTAAAAAAAAAAGGGGGTTTTCGCATGTCACGCCGTTTGTCAGAAACTATTTATGCTTATTGCATAAAAATTCACACACAAGACGACGGGCGTATCATGCGCTCATGGCGCAGCTGTTTATTATTTTCTATTAAATGTTTTCATTTTAAATGTCATGGATACAGATTAACCAGTTATTGTTGAAATGAAACAAAATTAGAAATATCGGGAAGCCTTCTTATAAGCAAAGCTATATTTATTAACCTGGTATTCTATTTTATTACTACAAGGGGAAGATGTTTATAATGAACGTACAACTTGGCTACATCAGGCCGTACCCTTTTCAAGGAAGCTGAAGTAAATTACAAAATACATGCATCCTAGAAAAGGCTGTATAAGTGGTAAAACTTGTCTTGATAGATTTGTTTTGTTTTATTTGGTGGAAAAATGATGAAACTGAAAGGAAACAAACAATGTAAAATATGTCTTAGGATGGTGAACCAGGATTTTCCTACAAAATCAAGAAAACAAAATTTTTTTAATGAAAGATTCCCTTCATTACAAATTGTGTAATTAGTTTTGAACATGATTTGAGTCATAATAAAATTGACACCCTTGTTTACTTGTTAAAATGCAAAAGTACAATGTACATGATGTAACTAAGTATTCTCCAATTTCATCCAGGTTCAGAAATCTACTGGATAATTATCAGCAACACATTTGATAAACAAAAAGTTTAAATCAAATTTTTAACACTGATAGATTTAAGTCAGATTTATTTCGTCATTGACAGAGTCATCAACACAATATCATCTTAATTGTTTTCTAACTTTATCAAGTGTTTCAACTTGACAAATCTACATTATATACCAATTAGATAATATTTTAAACTCGTGCTGATGACTGTCAATGATAAACGAAAATCAGTGAATAGATTTGGAAAGAAAGTGATGCTACCAAACATTTTCTAGTAAGTTTGCATCTGTTAAAAAAAACTTAGACTTGTCAAAGAAAAATACCAAACATTAGCATGGTTCATCATATTGTAATTGAATACTAAATTACCTGCTGATATACCTCATTGTAGAAAAGACAAACTTCCATGTTGTGAAATAGAAGATGGAGGTACCATAGTGTACAGTTGTAGCCATATTTTACGTAATGGTATATTTGTTAAAAAAGAATTTTGTGTGTTAAGTGTTAAGTTTAAATAATGATGATGACAACATTGGGCCTGTTAAAAACACAGTTATTTTGAATAAATTTTTGGTGGACAAATTTGTAATCTTACTTGACACCAATGTCACCAACTATACATCTGTGTTACAAGACTTGGGTCTCATACAAGCTAATGGTACACTTGTAAATGAATAGAAAGGAAATGTCAGTTTTGCAATTGAAGAGGGAAGACTGCATTTGTTTGGCTGGTAATTTTCCATACCAATTTTGTTTAAATCAGTGGTTTTGCCAACTTTTGGTGTTTTTTTTTAATATCTTTTGATCTAGATGTTTCAAATAACTGCCAGTCATTATCAGTCATCTGCTCAGAGCATGCAGATATTCCAATTTGAAGAAAAGTTATTGATATAGAAATCAATAACTAACAAGTATTGTTTTTTTTAAATATATTTTATTTTATTTTCAGATTTCAACGTTCACAATAAGCAAGATGAATATGACAGAACACATGCATCATATGAACCATATGGGAACCACTGAGATGGATCATAGTGGCATGGGTCATAATATGGGTGGCATGGATCATAATATGGGTGGCATGGACAATAATATGGGTGGCATGGATCATAGTATGCACATGAATACTACAAAATGTGGAGAGGGGATGATGGGAATGATGGTAAGTCTGAATTTTCTACCTTGTTGTTATAGTTACATGATATAGATAAGTTTGCTTATTGTGAAAAAATATGTAATGGTTATCATGTCTTATCTCAATACTTAACCATTGAACTAGTACTGCTGTTGTTGCTAGCCAGCTGTTACTACTGAGATTGTGAGTGTGAACTCTTCTGGCAAGGTGTGTTGGACTTTTCTTATTTGACTAGGATTGCCAGTTTCCCTGCTGAAGAGCGGTGGTTCTCTCCAGGTACTCAGACTTCCTCCACCAATAAAAACTGGTCGCCTTAATATAGCTAAAAATGCTGAAAGTAGCATTAAATATGTAGGACTCTAAAGTGTGATGGTACTCTAAAGTGCGATGGTCACGCTAAAGTGCGATGGTCTACACTAAAGTACGATGTTGTCTCACGCTAAAGTGCGATGGTTGTTTGTTTGCTAAAGTACGATGGTATATCACGCTAAAGCGCAATGGACCAATAGGGTAAGGTTCGAGGGATTAAAACATTAAAGTACATGGATGTTAAAAAATAGTCTTTTATCAAAAGCTAGTATGCTAAGGTATAACATATAATTTACCTGCAGGTTTAAGTGAATGTTTCTAAATTTAGAAGACCGACCACGTAGTAATTGCTTAAAAGATCATTAGGTGTCACAAAATACTTTATTTTCTGTAAAATGAATTTTTAACAAATCGGGCGTATTAAATATTTGCTTGCCGTTCACACAGTTTATCAATAGTTGTCTGCTCTATGGTCGGGTTGTTGTCTCTTTGACACATTCCCCATTTCCATTCTCAATTTTACCTCCCTTACAGTCGTCATTGTAAATTACAAATACAAAATTTTTTCATTGTCGGAATATGAAACATTTATTTGTGTAAGCTTTTATTTTATTACGAGAGAAAGGCGATGTTCGCCGAGCTTTCTCCTTTTTCGTAACGAGTACAAATACATGTTATAATTTCCTACACTGTACAAACTATGTTTTAGCCGACAATTTATAATTTATACGCTTAAAACATGTACCTTTATTTTACCGACGTTACTTTTCAATAAAATCGACAGTATCTTAACGGGGGCCGCAAAGTAAACTGCAACGTAAACAATGATTTAAATGTATCCATTCGCTTCCAATAGAAGCAGGATACAGGATACCTATGCATATACTATTTTTTATCTATATAGTAAAATGGTTGGTTTAAAATTTGTCAATCAAATATTCTTAATTTATCTTCCGGCATGTTCATATATGGTTTGTATAAACGACTGTTAACGTCATTATCCAACTACGTTTCTTACGTTTATACTTTCGCGGACCATCGGACTTTAGCGTATGAAGGCATCGCACTTTAGCGCATACCATCGCACTTTAGCATGACCATCATACTTTAGCGTCCCCATCGCACTTTAGAGTCCTACAAATATAAAAAATCTATCAATTTTTGAACTGTTGTGTATATATTTAGTTGTAAACTCCTTACCAAATATAACCTATGTGATGTAATTATGTCTTAATATTTAATGCCGGTTGTATTATTTTATTAAAAGACAAGATCTTACAAATTAGAGAGTTCTTGTGGACCTAAAATTTTGCATGATCATTGATGGACTGTTGCTTGCTTATTGTCCATTGGCAAGTATTTCATGCATATTCAGGTGAAGATAGTAACTCCTTGTACTTTTCTTTACCTAAAAGTAACTCCTCTTACCATTTCTTGAGTTTCTGATTTTGATGTTTTATTTTCAATGAAAATGATAAGGCCTTTGAGAAGATACAATGAATATTTGCTATTTTATATGACAGACATGCTTAAACTGAAGGGGATGGTCATTGGTTTTGATAATACTTGTTCTTAAAGTTATGTTTAGAAAAAGGTATCAAAGTACATGATGATATACAATGTACATGTAGTATAGATGTCGTTAAATTCCAGTGATCTAGTATTGTATGACTTGTGTCTATGCTTATTTACTTAAACATACATAATAATTTATTGATGTAATATGTAAACAGGAGATAAAAAGAAAGTTAAAGAATGGTGTAGACATAAAGGGTAGAAATAAAATCTAGGTCGTTGTTGTTGAGCTATAATTAAAGTTGACTTTGACCTGAAAAGTTATGGGTCATGCCACAATGTGGTGAATAAATATGGGAAAAAATGTTTAATTTGTTAACCTAAAATTTAAAAAGTGTATTACTGATTTTTGTACATCAGGAACTTTTGTTATAGATATTAAAATGTTTAAATTATACTATCAAAAGATATACTTCAAATTGTAGCAAAGAGTATGGAGCCCTTTTATCATGACTATTTGAAAAGTAACAATTGTTACATGGGGTCCATAAATTATTTAATTTACCTTTATACATGTTTTTGAATTGTATTTATACGACCGCAAAAAAAACTTTTGCGTCGTATATTGGTATGATGTCGACGTCGTCAGCGTCGTCTGAAGACACATTTGGTTTCCAGACAATAACTTTAGTTTAAGTGAATGGGTCTCTAATAAATTTTACCAGAAGATTCAATACCACAAAAGGAAGGTTGGGATTGGTTTTGGGGGTTATGGTACCAACAGTTTAGGAATTAGGGGTCAAAAACAAGCATTTTTGTAGTTTCCGAACAATAACTCATGTTTAAGTTTATAGATCTGTCTGAAATTGTACCTCAAGGTTCCATTACATAAAGGGAAGGCAGGGATTGAGTTTTGGGGTAATTGCCCCAATCATTCAGGAATAAGGGGCAAAAAAAACGCCAAAAACAAGCATTTTTCTAGTTTCCAGACAATAACTTGTGTTTAAGTGTATGGATCTTTCTAAAAATAAACTACAAGTTTCCATACCTCAAAGGGAAGGCTGTGATGGAGTTTTAGGGTAATTATTATTGCGCAATAGCAAGAAATCTTCAATTGCACAGTATTGCGCAATAGCACAATATTGCACAATAGCAAAAATCTACAATTGCACAGTATTGCGCAGTAGCACAATATTGCACAATATCACAGTATTGCCCAATATCACAGTATTGCACAATAGCAAGAAATCTTCAATTAAAAATTAATACAAATATTTTAACCCATTTCAAATTGTTAAGATCTTTCACCACATTTTTTTGTGTGTCAGAAACCTATATTATGTCAAAAATTTGATCACAATCCAAATTCAGACAGTATCAAGCTTGAATATTGTGTCCAAACTTGCACCAACTGTTCATGGTTCGACCTCTGCCGTCGTATCAGGCTGCGCTCAGCGAAGCATTTTATTGTAGTTTAATTTTGGCAGATTTAAGTATTTCAATATGCAATATAGAAGTTTAAAACAATAAGGCACAGAACATGTAAATGTCAAAGTTAGCTGAAACTAAATGTTCTTAGTTTCAAATACATTAGTCTGCCAACTGTGTAGGGAAGTGAAAGGTCCACTAGTCAGCAGTTCATAAAGGTTTAGAAACAGAATCTGATGTGATGTCGAACTTAATCAAAAAATTTCTGGACCCTAACAAGGGAGACAATTCAACCTCCTTTTATTATATTCTAAATGAAGAACAGTTACAGGATAAGAAATGAGATGCAGTATGATTGCCAATGAGACAACTATCCATACAAGTTTACTTTATAATGTACTTGATTATGCTTCCTTGAAATAAAAATATTCTGCTAGAATAAGATCTACAAAAGTTAGAGAAATTTTAACAATGTCGCATTTATATGTAATGTGTAGAATGTGAGCTGAATTTAAATACCGTTAATCAAATGATAACAATAATAGTAAAATTTGAACTGAATATAATAAAATTGGTAATAGGTATTATGGTAAATCATTAGATTTGAATCTTGCTTTTGTAACACAGACGACTGATACATGTATATACATAAAATAACATTCTCTTGTTGTAAAGTTTTAATGCATGGGAAAGTATTACCCTGTCATGTTCAGTTTGTTACAGTTTAAGTTCAGTTCATATCCAAAACTCTTTAAAAATAGATGAAGTCATATTAAAAGTGTCCTTGTCAGGAAGTTTATGAACTTTAAGGTTTCCTAGTAAGGTGTATGTTTTCAGATTAAAGTCATTGATGATGGTATATCATCCTTTAGTTGTAAAGTCACTTAAGAACTTGTTTATAGATCACCACCCCACTTAAGTATATTGTTTGATTCTGTGTTTGTTCATGTGTATTTGGGTCTGTATACTGTAATGTGCCATACAAGTGGAGAAAATGTCAAAATATTAACAAATTGTCATGTAAATTTATATTTTATTGAAGTGTTTTGGATATATTGAATGTCAGTTGCATGAGAACCTTAATTCCTTGTTTGATAATAGCAATTTAAGAATTAAATCCCTTGGTTTTTTTATGTTACAAATTTTTAAACACCAAAAATTTCATGTACCTTTCATAGAGTTCTGGGATTGTTCAGAATTATTAAACCAACACAAAAGTTTAAGTGCTAGTATGAAAATTTCAATTCCAAATTTTCTCAAAGGAAAATATTTCTGCTGCTATATAGAAATAAAGAGATGTGGTATGATTGCCAATGAGACAACTCTTCACAAAAAGACCAAAGGAAAAGGATGTTAACAACTGTAGGTAACTGTTCTAATTGTATAGTTAGCTACAAAAGGACCTCGATAACAAAATGTCAAATAATACAACATATTTTTGTTAACAAAGATAATATTCATGAAAAAGTAACATCAAAACATTCAATTCAATCACAATATTCGCATTTTCTGTTTTATTTTTTTTTTATTTTTTAGTCCCCCTTCCTTTTAAAAATGCATCAGCCAAAATAGTGGGTCATACTTTGGAATTGTGGGTTAACAGGCCAAACTTGAATTAGTCAGGAATCACTTAAGTTAATAGGTTATCTATCACATACAATTAAGGCACTTTGAACTATTGATTTTGCTTTAGTGGCCTTCTGTTTTTATCCGTAAATAGGATTGGAGGTGTTTTCATTGCAGTCTATAATATAAATAAGAAGATGTGGTATGAG